GAGGTCCTCTTCCTGCTCTAATTGTCTTAGTTATCTGTGTTTGTTTACCGGCTTACTAAAATATCTATATATTTGTCTGTCTGTCTGTTATTCTCATCATCTCTCTCTATCTATCTCTCTATCTATCTATCTCTTCCTCTCTTTCTCTCTCTTTCTCTTCTCTTCTCTTCTCTCTCTCTCTCTCTCTCTCCTCTCTCTCTCTCTCTCTCTCTCTCTCTCTCTCTCTCTCTCTCTCTCTCTCTCTCTCTCTCTCTCTCTCTCTCTCTCTATCCTGCCTCCCACTCTACCTCTCCCCTCTATTATTCTAATGGCGAAAACAGCTTTGTGTTGATATGATGAATGAAAATCCAGAGTTTAAACAGAGCGGTAATTGGGTAAATGAGTCAAGTCTCGGAATCGATAGTGAAAGAGTGAGAGCAAAAACATCCTGTAAGGACACGTGACCAACACGACTCTCACGGACGTGCTATTCTGCTTTTCTTTCTTTCTTTTGTTTCATGTGCTTCCCTCGCATTGCCAGAGGTGGTTCTCTCGTCATTCGCACCCTTGCACTCTGTTTCCTTTCAGGTGTGTCAAAACACGCACTCTTGAGTTTTTTTCCCCTTTGTTGCACCTTGTAAGTGTGTCATCATCATATTTAGAAATTGTCATTTTTTGTCCATCTTCGGTGAATTTTGTAAGTTCATGGTTATTTCGCCGTTTAGCAAGCCTAGTTTCCTGTACTTTCAACATGCTCTTAGCCAATCCCTTTTAATCTGCTTTGTGTATTACCATTTTTACCCTTACAGACTGTGCCCATTTTACGTTTATTGCGTCGTCACTCACACCCTTACAGCCTGTTCTTGCTTCCTGTGCCTTGTAAGTGTATTGATATTGGGCCTCCTAGCATTTGCACCCTAACAGGCTGTCCCTTTTTGCTGCATATTGGAAGTGTGTCACATTCTCGCTCCATAAGCCCGTCCCTTCCCCCGCCGCCGCGTCCCTTCCTCCCGTCCCTTCCTCCCGTCCCTTCCCGTCCCTTCCTCCCGTCCCTTCCTCCCGTCCCTTCCTCCTTCCTTTTCCCGTCCCTAGTAAGTGTATTCCTAGTGGAGGTACTCCTGGCCCCTGCGCCCTAGTAGCTTGCCCCTTTCCCCCGTACCTTGTAAGTGTACTGCCGGCGGTGGCACTCGAGGGTGGAGAGGGGGTCGATGGCAGCCGCAGGCATGAGGAGGGCCAGCAACGCCGCCAGCATGGCCATCGCCGTCAGGAACCGGACGCCGACGCTGCCCTCGACGCCGCCGCTGAGAATGGCGCCGCTGGTCCCTGTGCTGGCCACCATGGCACGCTGCGGGGGAGGGGCCGGAGGGTCAGGGCCATGAACACACTTGTATTTGCATATACATGTACATATAAGGATATAGATAGTTAGACAGCAGATTTATAGATAGATAGACTGATAGATTACTTGACCTGGACGTCAGCGCTACCTCCAACGCCAAGCTCTAGATTTACAGGATTCAGCTGCATAAGTGATTCGTCCATAAATTAAATGTTGATTCGACGGAGGCCTAAAATGGCGCCGAGAGAACCATGCACATTCATATCTGCGCGCGCATGATCAGTGACATACGAGGGTCCCGAGTCCCTTTCTTGGCGAAGACAAAAAAGGTTTTTGTATTTGAAGCTGAAGCCCACACGCCTATGGCGGCCAGTATTCAAACGATGATATTCTGCATGTATATATATATATATATAATATATATATATATATATATATATAATATATATATATATATATATTATATATATATATATATATATATATATATATATATATATATATATATATATATATATATATATATATATATATATATATATATATATATATATATATATATATATATATATATATATATATATACATACACATATATACATATATACATATATTATATATACAGTGTATATATATGTGCGTGTGTGTGTGTGTGTGTGTGTGTGTGTGTGGTGTGTGTGTGTGTGTGTGTGTGTGTGTGTGTGTGTGTGTGTGTGTGTGTGTGTGTGCATGTGCGTGTGCGTATGCATGTACGTGTGCGTGTATGTGCGTGTGCGTATGCATACAATTTATTGCTAATCTCCTTAACTTTACGTTCGTCAGCCTTCTTCAGCTCCCACTGCAATTTCCGCCTGATACCATCAATAACTGTGCATGACCTTGTTTCGGTATATTTGTCCACATATTTTTGCCTTTATACCTGTAATTTCCTTCTATTGAGCTCTTGTAATAAGAAGGTCCTCGCAACACACGTCTCCAACTGTGTTATGCTCACGTTTTTTTTTTTCTTTCTTTCTTTCTTTCTTTCTTTATCTCTGTGTCCATAGTGTGTGATTATTGAGCTGTGAGAGGGTCGGCTCGCGTACCTTCCTTCGAGTGCTTCCTGTTTGTTCCTTAGCGAGGAATAACACTATTCTGTTTCTTATTTTCCTATTGTCTACCGTCTCCCTTTCCCAGAAGGCC